GTTTTTTCGATTTTTCTCACTAAAGTTTTTTGGTGAACGTTTAGTTTATTAAAATTCAAAATAAACTTATTTTTCGAATTCATGCTGCAAATAAGGCCATATTCGATTCCGAATGAATCATCATCAGTGCTCCTTGTTGTATATATTGACTTTGTCAAGATGAACTTTGACGTTGTAAAAATTAACTTTGGTGTTAAAATCGAAAAAACGAACTACAAACATATTAACGCCAAACATTCGGTAGAATTTATAGAATATTGTAAAAATTATGGTCTATTACCAACATATATATATATATATATATATATATATATATATATATATATATATATATTACGTTACGAACGCGTTAAAGTTTGTCTCCGTTAAAATTTTAATTTCAGCTTACTAAAAACTAATTCTCGTCGTAAAGTTGACCGTACTGATTGTTTCCAATTTCATGATTACAATAATAAACTTTTAACTTGTGGTTAAAATATCTGAATTAATGATAATAATTTGTTGATAATTTAGTTGTTTTTCAAATTTAGTTGGTATAGTGATAAACATATTAGTACTGTTAAATATTAAATAAAGTATTTCCCAGCTGTTACATTATGAGCACGTGTCAGAACATGGAAGAAATTGTACGGTACAAGCCTTGAAGTCACCTCAATGTGAGGAGTGCATGTTTAATGGAGGTTTGATGGAGTCCGACGGAGTATATTCTGCTATACCTTCTAATGTTAACAACATTAAATGGTTCCGTGACAAACGTCTTAATTGTTCGTGATTAAAAATCCTCGTTTAAATATATCTACGACTTTAGTGAATAATACGTTTAACGCAAAATTAGACAGATGTGCGAAGATTTGAAAAGAAACTTTGTTCATCGTTATTTTTTTTTGTTTTTTTTTGTATCATGTAAAGTGTTTTTTTTAATTTAATTTTTTAAAGTGTATTCGAAGTTGAGTTTTTTTTCTTTCAACGAGTAAAAATCTTTCAAAAATCTTTTTGGAGATCCAAATCATGTCTTGCGTTTCACTTTCACTTTTAAAAGAATATATATGAAGCAGGCTTACCAATACTACTGATTAAACATTTTTTGTTCTCACATTAAGATATCGTTATTTTCATATAATTTTATTATAGACGATAAATAATAATATTTAACTAATTAATTAATTAATACTAATTAGTAGAAAAGGTTAACACTTGAATGAACACTGGATAGGATGGGGCAAAGACAGCACACACGAACGTACATTGAATAAACTTTATTATTATGATTTAATTTTATGATAATAGTATTGAATGGTATTGTTAGTTTAAATAATAATTGAAATTAACTGCAATGACATTAAAAAATAAATAAATAAATAATAATAGTGCTGCTGAAGGATGATGAAAAGTTACTTAAATCGTTTTTTCTGTTGTAAAAATATCCATACAAATAATGATAACCATAAAAATAATAATTGTACTAAATAATAATAATGATTATTGTGATGAAATAAAATTATACCAACATATATTTCAATATATAATTCACATTTGGTGATGATAGCTAGCGGATATAAACCGCAGTCAATTAATTAAGCCATTAAAACGCAAGAAGTGAACGTAATATAGCTTAATTTAATTGAATTTAATTGAATTTAATTGCCTGTTGTGACTAAATTATGAGAGAAAATATAGTTGATAGGGCAATCAGCGTTGGTAAGATAATACATGGTATTATTAATTATTATTATTAATAGTGATTCTTTGAATAGTAAAACATAATTTGGGATAGGTTTGTAATTTGAGATGATCAATTAAGTTATTAAAATAAGTAGAATTCTTATTATTTTATCCACTGACTCTCTCAATTTATTCATCTGGTAGATTTTTTTATTTAGTACGTATTCATTAATTCATGTTTTCATGCATTAATTAATTCATTCGCTCGTTCATTCGTTCGCTCGTTCGGTTCATTCTAATCCAATATACACAAAGTTTTATAATACATTTTCTTTACAAATAACAATCTTATAAACATGATGGTCTATCATCACTTTCATTCATAAAAGTACAATCATCTTCACGGCAATAATAATTTGTATCGACATTTTTAATTTTTCCATCGTAATCATTCGCCATCAACATTCACACGCATCACATTCACAATCGCCACGTCGTCGTCGTCGTCACCATCATCATCATCATCATCATATATCTCTGGGTTTGTTTGTGTATTCGATGATGTACTCTGGATAGCACTGGGAACTGTTGAAGATGACGTAGATGGTCGGGTTGTTCGTGTCATTGACACATGCGTCGAACGATTTACCGAACGGTTCGAGTGGATTGATCGATGGCGGTTTTCGGTATCCGTTTTTGCCGATGGTGTATTCGCCTACCAGCACTCTGGCTAGGAACATAACGTGAACGTGATCCTGTTGAGTTGGTTGTTGTTGGGGCGGTTGTTGTTGCTGTTGTTGTTGCTGTAGTGGTAGTGGCGGTAAGATGACTGCTTGCTGCTGGTGGACATGTTGATGGATGTGATGCGAGTGATGTATGTGCGGTGGTGGAGGCATGTGATGATGGTGGTGCAAGTGATGGTGAAGATGTTGTTGTTGTTGAGATTGTTGTTGCTGCATCGGTGGCTGCCCGGTGGTCAGCTTCAATCCTTTGTTTGTTCTGACGAGTTGCATCGGTAGCGACTGTTGCGGCGGCGGTGGCGGTTGCTGTTGTTGCGGCGGGCCACTCGCGCTGTTTTGTTGCGGTGGTGCGTTCGGAATGGTCCAGTATGGAGCAAAAGTAAAGGGGGCCAGGGCGGCCGGAGGAGGAGGGCCCGTGGAGGGTGGGGGAACGATGACCTGCGCTTGTTGGTGCGCAGCGCCACTACTTCCGGGAGGCAGAACGGGAATTCTGGCAAACCGACAGGACTGTAGGGCCGCAATGCTGACAGAATGACTCGTTCCTGGGAATGCCTGGAAGATGATCTGATGGTGAGGATGGCTGGGAGGAGGAGGAAGTTGGTGATGCGATGGCTGCTGAGGTTGCTGCGGTGCACCTGAACTTCCGCCCTGCGCTGGATTGAAGAGGATGTTGCTCGGAAGAGGAGGTGGTGGTGGTTGCATGTGGCGTGGTGGCGGTGGTGGTTGAACTGTCGGCTGGTCGGTGTACATGTGAGAATATGATGCGTCTCTTGCAAAGTAGGAGCCTGCATGTGTAGTCGTTCACTTTCATTACTCGATGGTCAATCCATTTTAAAATCTCATCCAATCAATCTTTATGTTAATTTATTCATGAATATGAATGTTCATAAATAAATTAATGTGTATGTATATTATGTACGAGCCTATGGTTAAAAACAATAGCCACTAAAATTAGCTAACCCTATCTTAGTGCAATCTTAGTGCAATTTAATGATAAAACCTAAAAACATATTTCGGCAACATTTCTAAACAATGAAGAAAAATAGTGTACTACGAACCCTGTCCATACATGGTGCCGTGTGAGCCGCAGAGTCGCCAGTCGAAGTTCGTGCGACAGATGGCTTCAACGGCCTCCTTGCTGGTCCCGTGAAATAAATTTTTCTCGTTTACCGGTCTCGCCAAGTCTCGCTCCATCTGCATCTTCTTTCTGATTGGGTGGTTTGATGATCGGTAGATTTATAGAGGCGCTGATTGGTTGGCTGAATTACCAATCATTAATCTAATCAACCAACAATCCAATCGATCAATCAACCAACCAACAACTCAACTAGCAAGTGGATCAGCCAACGAAATACAACAAACACACCACCCACACTCCATCACCAGTAGAACGTACACAGTGTAAAATTGCCAAAGAATTGGATTCTGAAGATGTTTGATTCTTATAATGCTAGCCCGCGGTTTCGTCATTGTCTGGTGGAACATGGCTGACACCCAACTGTACTCTACCGAGCCTCTATTCACATCCACCAATCTGAATTCCTAATTTTAGGGTATTGGAAGTGATGATCATGTGGAGGATAACGATGATGAAAGAGATGAATGATGGTGGAAAAATAACATCAAATGAGAACAAGTGGTGCCCAACATAGTGTGCGTGTGTGCGTGTCTGTATGTGTGTGTATATATGGACGTGTGCGTGTGTGTGTGTATGCAATATGTGCGTGATTATTTACATTGTATGAGCTGAATGTTGTAGCGCGTATTAGAACATTTCGTTGTATATTACTTAGTACGTATATATATATATATATGTATATATATACAATATGTTGTATGTGTGTATATATATATATACAATATGTTGTATATATATATATATATTCACCATACATACAAACACACATATGATAGCGGTAATTTTATACAATTATACATTACACGTTACATACATACATTTGAACACAAAGCAGAGTTTGATTTTTGAAGCCAGCTATAGTAGCATATTGATTCAACAAGCTTCTATATAAGCATACACACAACACACACACAAACACACAACATAAAATCGTAATAATGCATTATATTCATCGCATTAACACATGATTCTAAGTAATGAATTAATGTATATACATTCATTTATATTTATATATACACACACATACACACACACACACACACATACACACACACACACACACACACACACATATATATATATATATACTTATACTTCTATGCGTGTTTGTTTATACATACATACATACATATTTGTATGTATGTATGTATTTATGAATGTACGTATGTACGTATGTATATATAAGAATAATCTTCAGACAACTGGCAACTAAAAACAAGGATGAAGAACATAGATAGATGATTGCATGCCTGTTATGTTATGTGAATGCGATTGTACATACACATGCGTACACATATACAGACACACACACACACACCACACACACACACACACACACACACACACATACATAGATACAAACAAACCAACGTGCAAATACATAAACATATTTATTAGCATACAAAACCAACACGTGTGTACAGTTCACCATATACACAGATATATTTTTTTAGTTTTATATATAATTTATTTATTCAATTATGCCTGTGCTTCCTTGTATGTATGTATATATTTAAGTGTATGTGTTAACTGTGTGTGTGTGTGTGTGCGAGTGTGTGTGTCTGTGTATGTGTTTGTTTGTATATCAAGGACAAACATGATACAAGCTAATGAATTGTAATTAGGAACTTGAAGCTAAAGCTAGCAACTGCCGAGGTGGTTAATAATGGAAACTCTTTTATTTCAATCAAAGTCAATCTAATGAATGGAAGAAAATAGAATAATTAAAATATATACTAATGTAATAATATTCAATAAAACCACAATAAAACCACAATAAAACCATAATAATAATAATAATAATAATAATAATAATAATAATAATAATAATAATAATAATAATAATAATAATAATAATAATAATGGGAACAACAACAACAACACACGTTTAGACGACATTTTCCCTGAAATCGGGGTTGCCGTTTGGCTACCTATGATGAAACCATTGTCACTTCTGTCATCATAAGTAATTTATTTGGCTAATTTTTACGCAGGACGCCCTTCCTTAGGAAACCACAGTTATAAGCGGTGGGCCTAGCCTTTGATGATCCAACATCACTCACAAGGCAGTGAGGGTCAGTTTAATGTCATAACCAGGACAAATAATAATAATGGGAACTCTTTTATTTTTTCCAAAAAAGAGACGAAATAAATATTCAATGAAATAAAATAAAATAAAATGAATTAAAATAAGAAAGTAGTCTACGATGCTCGCCATTATAGATATAAAATGCGTACAACGAGAAATGTAAACAGTCTTAATATAGTTATTTTACATTTGAATGTCTGTCGCAATAGATGGCGTATGATGATGATGATAATAATAATAATAATAAATAATTTAAAACAACTACAGCCAAGCAGATCATGAAGAAATTGCTAGCTATCATAAAGAAAATTTGATAATATTTGGATAAGTGTTAGTTCTGTAGTCGTTTATGTCAATGTTATTGGTAAAGTTAATGTTATTTTAGTTAATGGTTTTGTTGTTGTTATAAGGCTTTTGTTGTTGACGTTTGTAATTTAAAATAAACGTTGCTATTGCTTCAATTGCTAATGTTAACTGTGTTTGAGGTTAATCTGATGGGGCTGATATATGTATGTAGCTGATGTTGTTGGCCTGAATAAGACCTCATAAGTAACATAAACAAACAAGTTCACCACATAAACACTCTCTTATCTTAGGTTACACACACAAACACACAAACAAACACACACATACACACACACACGCACACATGCACGTAACATAAAGTTCATGGAATAATTTTTCGTACGAACATTCATTAACTTTCCCCAGAAGTAGAACAAGTTCTGGTGAAAAATCAGCTGTACACACACACGCACACACACACATACATAGATACATATACACACACACATACATACATAACTGAGAGCATCATTAAGCATGATATTATGTGGTGCGTACAATTATACGTTACTAGGCCATCTACATTTGCCTGTGCGTGTTTGTTTGTTTGTTTGTTTGTTTGTTTGTATGCGCGTTCATTCATGCATGCCTGCGTGTGTGACTGAATAAATGAATGAAAGATAGAAAGAAAGAGAGAGAGAGAAGGAAAGAAAGAGAGAAAAAAGATTGATTAATTAAATGAATGATTAAAGATAGTCCAGAACAAAAACACCAACAACAGCATGGTAAACACAACCAGACGATCAATAAAATCTAAAAATAACGCAGCAACACAAAATAACCAAAAACAACATATCAACAGCAACATATAATAACAATAACAATAATAAAAACAATAACAACAATAAGAATAACAATAATAATAATAAGCAACACAACACCGACTTCATTATTGGACATAGGCTCCCAGGATTGCGGCAAATTTCGAAAGATGTCACACCTCTGGTCATGTCCACCGTGATGACGACACGAATCGTACACTTCGTCGTCGCTACCACTACCGCCACACCTCCTGCACCGGACGGTGACGTCATTGCGTTGATCCTGATGATGATGGTGGCCGGATGATGATGATGAAGATGACGATGATGATTCTGCTACTCCGCTTTGAATCATTAGCTTGGCGGCGTTATCACAGTATTCTCTGTCCAGTTTTTCTTCCAGAATTTCGACCACCATTGTAGGCAAAGAATTTCGTAGTTGAGCTGTTGTTTATGTTGTTTGTGATTTGTCGTTAACAACAACAACAATAATAATAATAATAATAAACAGGAGTAAAAATAAAATATAACACTTACAGACGAGATAGAAGCTGTTGCATGCAATGTATCTACACTTCAGAGTACCCTGTATGGTGTGTGTGTAGGTATGTGTAGGTTTGTGTGTGAGTATGTAGATATGTTGTGTGAGTAGGTATGTGTGTATATATGTATGTGTGTATATATGTATGTGTGTATATATGTATGTGTGTATATATGTATGTGTGTATATATGTATGTGTGTATATATATGTGTGTGTATGTTTTTTAGTCAAGCAACAATGCGTTTTTAGGCGAGTGTGATTAGAAGATTGTACGTTTATAAGTCTGCCCTTGTCTGAATGAATTTTTAGTATTGTTGTTATTATTACTGTTATTGTTGTTGTTATTATTACTGTTGTTGTTGTTGTTACTGTTATTATTGTGAATACATCACTTTTGTCATCACGTTAGCAATATAAACTACACACGTCACACGTAAGTATTGTGTGCAACAATGCAAAAATATTTTGGCAAGAAAAAAAAAGAAAAAAAACTCAGACACGCTAATACGAACACATCAGAACATTAAAAGATACACAATACATACAATACACACAATACATAAATACATATGTATATGTATACATAATACATAAATACATAATACATAAATACATACACACATACATACATCCATACATACATACATACATACATACATACATACATACATACATACATACATACATACATACATACATACATACATACATACATACATAAATACATACATAAATACATACATACATACATTACATACATACATACATACATACATACATACATACATACATACATACATACATACACACTAACCGTGCATCGTATAAACGTGCTAGTACAACAAATGCACTCATGACGAGTACACATGCACTAAAGCTAGCAACATGCACCTAGACTTGCACAAACACTGAACCCACATGCACCCATATACAAACAGACATACATGCCATCTCAGATATAATCCAAGAAATAAATACACATACAAAAACATACAACATATAAATAAGTATACAAAACAAGCCTCTACGTATGCATGCATGCATGACAACTCACTCACTAGCCCCCATGCACATATACAATGAGGCATGCATACAAACAAATGCAACAGGAAAGACAGAAGCGTAAAGCAAAAAAATATACAAACAAAAATTATACGTACCTAACTTAAAACAAACAAGCATACATACAAACATACATACAAACTTACAAACAAACATGAACGTACCTTGCCAACCAAACAGCTGAAGATATACAACAATCAATAAGAAACCAACAACTCATCAACACGCTCCCTTATATACACACATTCACGCGCGCGGAACACGTGTCTCATATATAGGCACGCACACACAGGCAGACACACACATATATTTAAATATATACACGCAGGTTAATGAAATTGTAAATATTAATAACTTTACAACATCCATATTCATACGTTACATTTGCATATTTGCATATTCATATTTAACACGCTAACGGTTAAACACGCATTATTCATTTTACTGTTTTTATTTGCTTGTTCTGACCAATTAGCTGACCAACTATCGAACCAAGTGACCAACCGATGCCCGTAGCAACCAGCCAGTTGCGGGTTTACATGGTTCGAACGCTTTCTAAGCAGAGCTAAACAGATTATTATAAGCCACGCTTCTATGTAGCTGCCTGTCCTTAGTTGGGAGTAGCTACACACAAACGTATGAGTGCGTCTGGCGTGCGTGAGTGAGTGAGAGTGAGTGTGAGAGTGAGAGTGAGTGTGAAAGTGAGTGTGGGAGTGTGTGTGCAGGTTTCGTGGCAGGCTAGTTTTAATTCGAAACTAAGTAAGTGGACAATGCATGGTACTAGATGGACAGCTAGGCCTGCGTTAGAGCTGCGTAATAAGGAACAAAAAATCCAATAAGACACTCAATCAATAAAACATTCAACCAATCAACCAGCCGTCTGGCCAGCAGTACAAACATACATACTCCTCCACAAATCAACAACAACCTAGCCAGCTCATGCTCCATGCATACGTACAAACATAAACTTATCTATGTGAAGTGCATGTGTATGTATGTGTGTGCTTGCGTACGTACGTACGCATGTGTGCGTGCGTGTGTGCATAAAAATGAGCATGTAATTACAAAAATTCTGCACAGTACAGACGTATATTCTCTGAACAAATGTCACTGTACGTTCGCTAGTACATCCGAGCGTGCCTTTTATATACGCAACGCATTCGGACACCAGTTCGTACGCAAAGGTACGCATGCATACATTATACATGACGATGTACGCTGTTTGTATGCGTATAAAAATCTTGAACAGCAGAATAAATAACGGGCGTTCGTGTTAAATATGAATACGCAAACATGCAAGTGTAACTTATGAATATGTATGTTCTTTGTTGTAAAGTTATTAATATTTACAATTTCATTAATGTATATATATATATATATATATATGCATGATATATAATATATAAATAAGTGCATGATATGTATATATATATATATATATATATATATATATATATATATATATATACAGTCAGTGTTCGTGATGCAGTCGTATTTTATCAGGGATCAAACAAGCTACCATTATACATGTACCAGGTACTTTTTACGTATACATTTGGTAGTACACTTTTGCGCGCGTGCACACACACACACACACACACATATATATATATATATATATATATAATGCCTAAACTATTAAGAGTTCTTGCCATGTGCAGGCTATTCTATAAAAAAATATCATTATAGAATAATTTCATGCGAGCGAAGACTAAGAAGCAATAAGCGGCCAGTTAGTCCGTCGTCCACTTATTTATTATTACATTCAGAGATTCGGGTGAATAGTTCATTAAAAATAGTATTCACTAAAATCGTACAAACACTAATTGGATAAAACTCAAACAGGGAAAATAAACAATGACTCATTAACGGACAAATAAACGAACGAACGAACAATACTACAAACAACACAAACGAACTTTTTTTCCTCTAGCCAGTAGGGTCTTAACTTGTATCTGCATGCACGAGCCACAGCAACCGTGCCCCGCCATGCAGTAGGACAGAGTGCTGATCGGGAACTTCGTCTTGCATCCGTAACAAATTGATTGTTCCTCTGGCTGGTGGTGTGGCTGTGATGGTTGGGGGTGGTAGGGATTGACCACATTTGTGTTGCTGCTGCTACTGCTGTTGTGCTGCTGCGGCTGTTGTTTTGATGACGCGGCTTTTGCAACGGCGGGAAAATGTTTGTTGTTTGTTGTCGTCATCAGTGATGACGATGACGATGATGAAACAGACAGAAGCGAAGGTTTAATTAACGATGATGACGACGATGACGTCAATGGCGATGATGACGACGACGACGTTGAAAGGAGCGATGATACCTTGGAGGCATTATTTTTTGAACTCCTCGTCACCATGGAGAAGCTGGATTGAGTGGCTAAAGAGGCAGCTGTCGTTGCGTTATTATTATTATTTACACCAAAACCTTTGCTATTTGTACTACCGGTATAATTATTAAAGATATTGTTAGCATTACCACTCTGTGCATCGTTAAAGACGTTAGATATGGAATAAATTGAAAGATTTATTTTGTTTGTAGAGACATCGATCGAGTCGGCAGACGTATTTAGCGTCTTGCGACATTTCTTTTTGGCGTTTTTAGGCGATGAAGCGTTTCGTTTTCTCATCTCGTCCATCGCCGAATCAACGGGCGATAAAACTTCGACGGTTTTGAGGCGGTAGCGATGCGCCTTGGGAGTCCTTCTTAAAACGACTTTGCTCTGATAAAGCTGCACCACACTCCACGTCGAGTTGTCGTTGTAGTTGTTGCTGTTGTTGCCCATGACGTTATTGTTAGTACCCTTTGTTGTTGTTGCTGTTGCAGTTGTTGCATCTGAATTTTTCAAAATTTTCTTTCCGTCATTCACGGGATTGTTGCTCCCGTCGACTGAACAAATATTTGAAATTTTTTGCGTTTTGCGGGTTTTTCTTGTCGGCGCGTTTGTTGCCGCCATGGATGACGTCAGCGCTGTTGACGAGGGAGAGGAGGAGGAGGAGGATTGCAAACTTGGATAAATGGGTGCAATTGTGTTGAAAGACATTTGTAGTAGATCATCATTAATGTTGTCGTCGCTATCAACATCCGTTAGTGTAGCATTGAGACCACCACCTCTGACGTCAGGGGCAGTTTGATTGCCTGTTGCTGCAGTCGTCGTCATTACGTTTGTTGCTGGCGTTGTTGCTCTTGTGGTTGCTGTTGACAAATTAGGTAAAGAGAAACTGGACTGACGATGAAGATGATGACGGTGACCAGCATCATCTCCATTAACACCATCCTCATCGCTGTCGCTAGCCAGCATGTCGTTCTTTGAGAAGTCGTCTGGATATAAAAGGGTGCTGCTCCGATGAGCTCCGACGTTGGTTGTTCGCCTGCTATCACTGGTTGTAGATGTTAAAAATAGAGCTTTATCGGCAGCATGCATGTCGGTCATTTCACTCGCGACCTGACTTGAGACGACCAAATCCGTTTCCATAAGCATGGCATCATCTTTCTTGTCCGAACTCGTCAGAACGCTGATAGAACTTTGAGTTGGGTTGGTAGCCATGGAGTTGACGTTGTTGTAAACCGAGAAATCAATCGGTAGGTCGTACAGCGCGTCCGACTTCGACATCAAATTATTGGCGTCCGATAAAAACGGATCGTGACCTTTGACCATGGAAGACGAAAGACTGCTTGGAAAAATGGCGTTCATTTCGTCGTTGAATGGCAGCGCTTCGTTTTCTAAGTCTATCGTGATGATGGGATCGGTGTTCATTATAACCGAGGAAGCGTTGATGGGCGGTAAGGATAGGTTGGTGTTCATTGAATTGTCAA